TAACCATTTGATTGTTGCTTCAGGATGTAATAGTAAAACACTAATATCCTGTCCCCCTTATTAAGCTGCGCCGTCATGGAGATTATTTATTGCAGAAGTACGCTACATCTCGCCATATAATGTGATCACTCACTGTCATTTACAGTAATGGTTACGGCTCTAGTGATACCTATCGTTCCTTTAAGTTTTCTTGTAATTGTCCTATTTGTAGTTAAATCCCCCCTCTCATAATATTGTAAAGCGCTACGGAATCTGTTGGCGCTATATAAATAATAATAATATGTAATACATAGTTATGGCGCATTGTTATTGCCAGCATTAATATACTGACATTGGTACATTGCCACAGTAGTGTTTATGGTTATTCTGGCTTAGGGTTAAGGGGTAATGTTAGCCTTGATCTAATAAGGGTGAAGTGTAGCATTGCTGCAGAGACCTAATTATATTACACTAGACGCCCCCATTTGGCCATAAATGATATTACACCTGGAAAAGAACCCTTTTGTCGGATTAGTTTATATTTCAGCTATTGTCTGGCTCCTGGGGGTGTAGTCACACAATAACATATTTTCAGTATTTCTTTTTATTCTAAGATTTTTGTATATGTGCGACAGCAGTTTTTAGCTTTTATCGGTGATGGTGGCTAGCAAGTGCTTGTTTACTCCTGTGCCTTTTATTAAGAAAATGAGCTTTCCACCAGATTTTTATCTCGTGCAAAGTGCCAATCTTCACCGCGGTGTCAATATTGTATCTCTTGGCCTGATGTGTATATAGTGATGCCTCCTTTTCCTCTCCTCCCTCTGTATTGTAACTCATTATCTAGACGCATTTACTGCTCCCGTCTTCTCCTTTTGCTTTTATTTACAATACAAAACAGCAGCGCACACTTATCTTCCCTTTATACCCACTGAAAGATTTTCTAAAACAGCCAAATCCGTCTATTTTTCAGCTGCTGTTGACAAGAGCCAAGCGCAGACTATTCCTGCTCCCCCGGTCCCCGTCTTATGTTTCCAAATGACATGTCACTTTGTCTGAACGCAAGCATTTGCTAGTTTTATGCAAACACATTATTTGTTTTGATCCAGGTTAATCTAATATTTTTCTTCTTAATGTTTATTTTCACAGAGAGAAGTGTTTAGCAATATTAGTGATAATTTTACCAATTGCTAAGAGCTGCAGAGGTTAAACATGTAAATGTATTTAACTGTGCTGCTGTAAATGATCATGCTATATAAATACAATATATTAATAATACGATATTTCAAATCCCCTCCCCAACTTTATCGCTACTGTGAATGTGTTGTAGGCGGCGTGTTGGAACTGGGTCGGGGTATCGGACCAAATTATTGTTTGACTTTCTTATTGTATTAACTACCAGCAAGCATTATTTTATAATGTCCAGTTGGTATTAAAGGGAAACTATAGTGCCAGGAAATAGCTTCCCCTTCTGTCAAGGACCCCCTCTTCTCCCTTTCCCCCACTCCCCCGCCCCCCAGTGATGCACTCCGCCCCTGCCGAGGTCAGCCGGCCTGGGAGACCTAATGCGCATGCTCTGCAATTATTTAATGCATTTGTATGAGGATTCCGGTGACGCTGAAAGTCCTCATGCTATAGTGTCCCTTTAATAATCCTTTGTTGTGACCTCACAATGACTCAATAATGTAATTGATCATTGAGATTTTAAGTATTAGACAAGGTAAGGTTTATTAAGGACTGACATGAATTTACGAATAGTAAGACTAAATCAATATTAAATGATTTCCTATAAAAGTATAGTGATTGTGGCCTTCCTTGATGGAAATATTTTAACATTTTACCTGTGAAGTCATTGCAGTGTTCCCGCAAATGGTTTCGACAGAGAAAATGTCATTCAGACTTTGTGTTATGGCGGTGAATAAGCAATAAACTGACAAATACAACGGCTGTTTATTTGGACAAAAATTGCTACTAATGTAAAGGTGATCTTAAAATCTGTATAATTTGTAAACAAAAAGAACATTGAAAGTTCAACTGATGTAATAGTGACACAGGGAAACTCAATACAGCTATGTGCTTCTCCAGTTACTCAGAGAAGGTTCCAACGCATTTTACACTGAATTCCAAAACATGTCCAAAATTCGTTAGAATCTCATGAACTTTTATATCGAGCTAAGTTTGATTGCATGTTAATAACAAGTATACAAATTGCTTATGTTTCATCTTTCACCAAAGACCCACGCAAGTTTTTCCATCGAGAAAGTAGTGAGCCTGTGTTAATGCCCTAGAGAAGGAAAGTGTTAATAAATGATCAGATTAAATCATTCTGTGATATTGTTCCTTTTATAGAGCAAAGAGTAAGATATCACCAATATCCAGTATGGAGTCTGTACTCCATTAAACTGGTCCACATTCGAAATATGATCTTGTCTGGGAAAATATGTTTGGATGTGACATATACTGGCTTTCATTGGTCACACAGGATTCAGAAAAAATCCTGTTGCTTTAGTACAATTTCATTGTTTTTGGCTGTAATGCAGATTTTATGCCGTCCTATTAATCAAACGAATGGCAGTAGGAAAGGATACATATCAATGACAAAAGATAACATTTACAGAATGATAGAATGACTGCAGAACATGATCTATACACCAAAACTGTTTCATTTAGCTAAAGTTGTTTTGGTGCTCTGAGTGTCTCTGTAAATTCATACAAGTGTTGGCAGATCTCCTCCAAGTGACCAACGTATTAAGGGCACAAAACATAATGTTTCCATAAACTGCATTGTATGACTTGCGCCCACAGCCTGCCGTAGCAGCAAATATATGAATCCGTCAGTTCTGCTTCCTGGTCAAGCTTGGCAGTCTAATATCACACAGCCGCACAGATTTATATCAGATTACACCATGCTTTTACTTTTCTTATTTAATAACTAGTCTTTAACAGTGAGTAAAGTGAATGAATTTAAATAGTCTGGATCCCCGGCATCATTGAGGTGTTTCCAAACATCCTATGGTCCCTTTGAAAACGTAGTTGAAGTTGGGTTTTGCATGACGACTGTTCTGTTTTTCTAAGCTTCTCGTTATATTCTGGATACTTTGTTCTGTCTGTACAAAATGCCTCCTAGTCATTCACATGACCCACTTTCTGACAAGCAAAATACAGTGTGCGCTGTGCTGGGATTCCAATCTACCATCGCTGCTGCACAAATCAGCTGGCCACTGAATATTCAACATTTCCTAGAAGTAAACTGGGCTTATGATATATGGAGGACCAGGCCATTAATATATACAACCGCTAATTTGTATCAAAGAGGGATCAGGCGGCTGTCAATGGTTTATTGGTTAATGGTAGTGGTTATCTTACAGGGAGAATTTTTACTAAAAAGCTGTCGAAGATAGAAGTGAATCTTCTCGTCGAGCATCAAATGCCAGGTTTTACGTAGACCTGCGGAGTGTTTTAATTAAAAGACAGGTGTTTTTTGGTTTTTTTACATTATCATTTGCAGAGCGCTGAAAGCCTTAGTTCTCATCCCAGAATCAATGGTGACATTTATTAAGCAGAGCAGAATGAGATTCATAGCCGGATGAGAGAAACCTTCCTTCTTTATACTGAGAAGGTTTGGATTGACTTTGTCCCCTGTAGAAAGCAAAGTTATAAAACATTACGTTATTTTATATATATACATACATGTGCAGAAACTACAATAAACTCTGACATGTGGGAAGAAAGCACACTAATATATAGCTACACATGTGCATAAAGTACATTAATATAAGATGTGCACCTACCTGTCTATGTACCATATGGTCATTTTTCCGGATGAAATGGTGGAAATCTAACTAGCTCGGATTTGCTAACGGTGCCCTCGGTAAAATAACTTCGGATTGGACCCAGCAATTCTTGTTCACTTCTTCACAATTCTCAGTTTAGCATTAATTCCTGCAGTTTCATTCCACTTAATAACATGGCCAGTTAGAAATGTAAATGAATTAATAAGAATATCATTTTTTACTAATTTCATGTTTACCATGAGTAGAACTCTAGCTTGGGTTAAACTACATATCCCATAAATCAGTGTGATAAAAGCCATATGGGTTTATGGTTCGTACTGTTTGGTATGAAGCCCATTAAGTATGTTTCCATAATTCCTCTTTCTTGGTGTCTGTTTTTTTTTGTCCCAGTGGAATTGTGACAGGGACTGGATGTCTGGACTTTGGTAAAACATTTATTTTGTGTCAATAAACACAGCCCCCCCAATAGTCCCAGATTTTATTCCCTGCACCTGTCCTTAGGCAGCACAGTGTGAGTGCATCATAACACATGCTCATGCTGTGAACGGCCATTCTGATGGTCCTGGAGGTTGGGGGCCGGCCAGTGTTGGGAACTATGCAAATGGAATCATTAATTAAGATATTGGGATTTTTATCATTTTTGTACGAGACCACTATCGCTGTGCACAAACTGTGATCCACACTGTATTTAAACTAACGACTATTAGAGTCACTGCTCGCACTATCAAGTTGTGATGAGTGGAACTGCAGCTTCCGTTAAACTACATGTTCCATAAATCACTGCTCGACAGGTATTTATGGGATAGGAGGAAAAAAACATGAGCTCCAAATGAAAGTCTCCTAATTAGTCATAATGGAACCCAAAATAAATATTTTACAGCTAATTATTTATAACCAAACTGATCATGATGACGAATAAGCTCTAATCTTTCTTTAATATCAGAGTGAAAGGTACATGGAGCTTACTTTGTCTTTAATGAACGTTAAGTTTAGAACAGTTAGAAACGTTGCTTTTAACGTAGTTGTTCTGGTGAGTATGTTCTGGTGAGTATAATAGCTTTCAGAGAAAAGACAGTGTTTACATTGCCCCTAGGGACACCTCCAAATGGCCACTCCTTAGATGGCCATTGGATGTGCTTCTTGGCTCAGTGCTGCACAGTAGGCAGCACTGCCGTTCAGCGTCTCCACGCTCTGCATGGGGAAGCAGAATTTTACACATAGAGGTGCATTGATTCAATACATCTCTATGAGGAGGTGCTGATTGGCCAAAATTGTGTTTGGTTCCGCCCCCTTGCTGATTTTAGCCAATCCAATGCTTTCCCCATGGGCCCAGGATACCCAGAGAAAAACAACGGTCCGTTAAAAGCGTTTTAAAATAAAATAAAAAATTACGAACACATTTAAAAACGGCCACTGACCAAGGCAAAGGTGTTTTTCACATATGGCTCCATATCTCCCAAGTGTCCCTATTTACGAGGGACAGTCCCTATTTTGGGCCCAAATTCACCTGCCCCACCTTTCTAGCCTAATGTCCTTCTTTTCTCACAGAGCTCCACAGCAATAATACTCCCAGTAAAGTGTCTGAGTGTATAACAGAGCTCCACAGCAATAATACTCCCAGTAATGTGTCTGTGTGTATAACAGAGCACCACAGCAATAATACTCCCAGTAATGTGTCTGAGTGTATAACAGAGCTCCACAGCAATAATACTCCCAGTAATGTGTCTGAGTGTATGACAGAGCTCCACAGCAATAATACTCCCAGTAATGTGTCTGAGTGTATAACAGAGCTCCACAGCAATAATACTCCCAGTAATGTGTCTGAGTGTATAACAGAGCTCCACAGCAATAATACTCCCAGTAATGTGTCTGAGTGTATAACAGAGCTCCACAGCAATAATACTCCCAGTAATGTGTCTGAGTGTATAACAGAGCTCCACAGCAATAATACTCCCAGTAATGTGTCTGAGTGTATGACAGAGCTCCACAGCAATAATACTCCCAGTAATGTGTCTGTGTGTATGACAGAGCTCCATAGCAATAATACTCCCAGTAATGTGTCTGAGTGTATAACAGAGCTACACAGCAATAATACTCCCAGTAATGTGTCTGAGTGTATAACAGAGCTCCACAGCAATAATACTCCCAGTAATGTGTCTGAGTGTATGACAGAGCTCCACAGCAATAATACTCCCAGTAATGTGTCTGAGTGTATAACAGAGCTCCACAGCAATAATACTCCCAGTAATGTGTCTGAGTGTATAACAGAGCTCCACAGCAATAATACTCCCAGTAATGTGTCTGAGTGTATAACAGAGCTCCACAGCAATAATACTCCCAGTAATGTGTCTGAGTGTATAACAGAGCTCCACAGCAATAATACTCCCAGTAATGTGTCTGAGTGTATAACAGAGCTCCACAGTAATAATAATCCCAGTAATGTGTCTGAGTGTATAACAGAGCTCCACAGCAATAATACTCCCAGTAATGTGTCTGAGTGTATAACAGTGCTCCACAGCAATAATACTCCCAGTAATGTGTCTGAGTGTATAACAGAGCTCCACAGTAATAATACTCCCATTAATGTGTCTGAGTGTATAACAGAGCTCTGCAGCAATAATACTCCCAGTAATGTGTCTGAGTGTATAACAGAGCTCCACAGTAATAATACTCCCAGTAATGTGTCTGAGTGTATAACAGAGCTCCACAGCAATAATACTCCCAGTAATGTGTCTGAGTGTATAACAGTGCTCCACAGCAATAATACTCCCAGTAATGTGTCTGAGTGTATAACAGAGCTCCACAGCAATAATACTCCCAGTATCTGAGTGTATAACAGAGCTCCACAGCAATAATACTCCCAGTAATGTGTCTGAGTGTATAACAGAGCTCCACAGCAATAATACTCCCAGTAATGTGTCTGAGTGTATAACAGAGCTCCACAGCAATAATACTCCCAGTAATGTGTATTTAACTACAATAAACATGTTTAGAAATCAGTCTGTGTCAAAAAGATACATTGTTGTTATATATTATATTTTAGTTTTATAATTTGTTATTAGTAAATCACCTAAAATGTTTAAGAACACCCCCATCCCTGGCCACACCCTCTCACACTCCTAATATTAAAGTGTCCCTCTTTGTCCATTCGAAATGTTGGGAGTTGTGTGACTATACTTTAAAAATGTTAAGTACGGCAAATCTATTACCCAGAATCCTCCAGGGAAGGAAAATAGGTTAAGAGTCCCAGCCGCCCATGCTATATATATAGATATCTAATTACATCTCTCTCTTTCTATATATATATATACAGATATAGTATTATGTTAAATGATGGGTGATGCTGCTTTGTCTATGAGATGTATGGGGCTAATTCTTGCTGCATACATGTATAAATTAACTGCACATTACACTCACACGATGCAGTGGTATCTGGCAGCAGTCCATGTTCTACAACCAACATGCTGTTATTTAATAAGCTGCTCTGTTACCAGCAGCTGCTACGTTCATTGCTACTTTACCTTCTGTCGCTTAAGTCTTTTCTAAAGTTTTCTCACCTGCTGCTGTTACAGTGTTTAGTTAAAACTGATCATGAAGCTGTATCCGTAAAATGTACTTTTTTTCTTGAAATCCCCATTTAAAAAACAAAACAAAAAAAAACTCTGTTTGACAAATCCAGGCTTAACTGCTTACCGCAACATTTTATTTAACTTTTTTTTAAAACACACTTTTAGTATTTCTTAACAGACATTGATCACCACATTGCATTCAAAGATTACAGCTAGTAGAAGGATGTGACTTGGGACTAGCCCCGCCCACAATGACTACACCACACCCACAGCGCTTTATCTTTTAACATATCATTTGGTAGGCAATGTAACAATATGTTTGTACCTTGTAACTAATCGCACAGGTAAATATTGCCAAGACATCCATGCTGAGGTAGAGTGTAGTAAGTATTGTATTAAATAAGGCATTACCATTTTACTGTGCTACAATAATTCTATACAGTTATACTGGCTGCATATTTCCCTTAAACATTGACATTTATTATTATTATTATTATTGGTATTGGTATTTATATAGCGCCAGCTTATTCCATAGCGCTTTACAATAAAAGGGGGAATTTACCAAATGAGACAATCACAAAATATAACAGGAATATTAGGTAGTTGAGGAGCCTGCTCAAACAAGCTTACAGTCCTGGGCTAGGTTAGACTTATTATCGGGATCATAATATTTTATAATCAATCCTGCGTAAAACCAAAATATTGTTCCCCTTGCATGAGGCAGAATCCAATTAATTAAAGATTAACAATCTCGAATTCATTGCTGTTCAGCACGCATCGTATTAAATTTGCTCGTGTCCTGTAAATCTGACAAACTTACCTTTTTTTAATGGAACTTTCTCCCCTTTGGGTGGAATTTTCAATGAGCTGTGAGATTGCTCTCTACATTTTGAGTTTCATGGTTTCATTTCAGTGAGAAACAAAAGTCGAGGATGAAGTGAGTTATATTGTATTTATTGTTTTATATTTAATGGCAGACATAGATATATAGTGCTGCACACCCCTGGGACATTTACAGGTTCCAGAAACACCCAAAGCTAGAGCCTTGAGGCAAATTCAGTGACCCTTAGTCTAACAGAGAGGTGTGCCGTCCTTTCTACCCATAAATCGTGTGCTGCAGATACTATCCGGGATCTCAATAGAAGCCTAGATAGACACAAGCACATGAAGCCCAGCCAAGTACTAAATGTGACCCGCCATGTTACCTAACTAATGTTACCCCCTGCCTAAATTTATCTGGGGAGGGGGTGGTGTCTGGCAGAGTCACTATACTGAAAAACTACTGCCTGATGTAAAATAAAAACAAAAAACGACCCACAATATTCTCCACCTCCTCTTACTGCTTCAGCCCCAAAAGTCCCCACCTAGCAACCCCTAAGGCGGCCCCTATGAAATGATTTCTTAATAAAAACTAGTAGCTTATTGGATCATTATTCTTATCATCTGTAATGATGTGTGCAGAGAAATAGTGACTGTCCCTCATAAACACAGGCACTTGGTTGGTATGTCTCCTAGACTGTAAGCTGGTTTGGGTAGGACGCACGTCACCCCTTGTATTTGCCGATATCATTTTGCCAGTTAATGATTTACTGTGTATAAGTGTAAATCGCTGCAGTATATGTTGGCACTATCGCTGTTTTAGGTGTTGGCGTGTTGGAATTCCTTCACACTTCTCCATAAAAAGCTAATGAATGAGTTTGAGGATCTCTGTGCCCAGTACTGCCAGCAAATCTCTAGGAATGGGAGACGAGCCCCATATATCACCCTGACACCCAATCAAACTGGGTCCATCTTAGCCAAATCCTGAGTTTAATACATTCCACTATATTGGCCTTTAATTCCCAGCCCAATAGTGTAATAAAGGCAGGGTTTGTGGGAATATATGGGTTAATGACTGCCTTTCCTACCCCTAGTCCACTTTACACGCTGCACTTGACAGTAAACCATATGGGATCTTCGTATCGCTCTGCGCGCTGTATCCTAATTATTGGCCGCATCAAGAAATACTGTGCTTTCTGTGAGATCTGAAAAGATTGGAATAATTATTAACCCCTCGGCACACAGAAAGCATTGCTCCCATTAAGTAAATCCCATGAAATCCTAGCTGGCCGAGTACCCAGGGCTGCTTGGCTGAGCTGTGAGCTGTAAGGAGATATGTTGCTATACGCAGGGCCAGACAGACCTCCTCATATGGAAACCTTTTAAGAAATAAGGTCAGTGCTTGTCTCACCTCATTTATTTCATTTACTCCAGGAGTTCTCTCCATATAGGTACAAGGCCCCCGTTAAGGCACAGGTCACATATAGTGAATCACAATAATATAGCCGTCTGTCCGTCCGACTATAATGGTGTAATGAAGGGCCTTGTCTCAGCTCTCAGAGGATCAAGCCTCATTAGGTGGTTTGACTATCTATCAATCTATCTGTATGTCTGTCTGTCTATCTGTCGGTCTATCTCTATTATATATTTGTCTGTCTGTCCATCCGTCTGTTTGTCTATCTATCTAAATATTTCTAATTATTTTTGAAATGTTAAGCTAAAGAAAGTTCCTTCACATCTCAGATATAATAGCTGGGAGCTCGGTGAAGAGGGGGGAGCTGGAGAATATATATAATTCCAGATCAGGCAATACCAGCCTGGACTGACCCAGATATCAGGACATTGATATGTGAGCTAGGAACAAATCTAACTTCTAATACCTTTAATACAGCCATGTTCTAGGTAGCGTGATATAAGTTACGACACTCACATTCTACTGACGCTTGGAAAGCTTGTTATTTGCACGTAATATACACGATTCCTCTCTGCCATCTTCACAGCGGAAGAGACACGGCTTATACGTTTCTTGTAGCCGAGTTCTGAGCCCTTTTCTGATCTGCTATTTTCT